GGAAGCACTGTCTGACGCGTCTGCCACCGCGACCCGAAAGGAGAAGCGGCGATGGAAGATGAAGATGAAGGACAGTCATGAACAGTCAGAGCATTGTGCACACCAGTGTAGGAGATGTAGAGACGAGGTTGTTGTTAGTAGATGACTACGTTTTGTTGGCTTTCCTTGAAGCTTAACTCCAGCGCTCTCCTGAAAGGTTCGCAGACGAGTGCGCCGTAACCCATGCACGGGAAGGTGTATAAAACCAAAGGCCTAGTGTTTCCTTGTTCTGCTGCTCGCTACGCTCTGTAGATAAACAAAGAAACGGTGGAAGAGGAGGGAAAGTTAACCAACCTCAGGGTCCTGTTTACCAGTGGTAGAAAATGGGAAGAGACAGACCGATGAATTTGAATGACCAGCGGCGTTTTGCGTGAACCAGCCTGAAAAGGTGTGACTAGAACAGAGCTGAGTCTGAAGACAAAAAACGCTGTGTTAAATCGGTCTTCATACCCATGTACACCTAAGGTCATGAAAGGTAGGCCATGGCTGAAAGACTTCGAGTAGCAGTGGGTGATATGAGATGTCTGAGAGGAGTCGCTGAGCTCACGCATTTTGACATGGTCCAGAGTTCGGATATCCGGGAAATTCTTGGTGTACATCAGCTGCTTTTCCATATTAGCGAGTCACAGCTGCCATGGTTTAGACAAGATTTGCGAATGCATAAGAAAGGAAGGCAAATGGGCTACTACAATCAACCAACACCCCTCCCCCTAACCCATTACCCACGCCATCAGCCGAAATCCTCATGGACGAAACAAGAATGAATTGGGGCAAGTGCCTCGACAGAGTCTGTTACGGACTCGGGTTATCGTCTGCCGCAGCTCAAACTCTAGCACAGGAGCGCGAACGTTATTAACATTCAACAGTCCGTCTGCTTCGGCAACTCCAGAAAGATAAGCAGTCATTGAAAATGACTGAATGACATTATATTGTTTTAAACTGCCTTGGAAATGTCGAAAGATGAGTTAACTAATGTGTACTTTAAGAAGGGGACCTTTCGGTTTCAGCAAAAAAGAAGAAACTGGCAACAAATAGAGCAGCCGACCGAAACAGCAAAACGACGTAACTTGTCTGATCTAATGCACAGTATTCATGACTTGTGCAATTCTATAGAATCTTGGCTGCATAGTTCCGATGAATACGAAAATGGCTTAATTCTATGACGAAGGTTTAAGTCTATAACATTAAAACTGAGTGTTGATCCACAGAGTACGGTTGCATAGAAACAAAGTGGCATCCTCTAATCATAGAATTTATCTCAGTAATGACCTGCACCATAAACCTAAAATTTGCTCACCATTATAACCACCATTGGCTTTACTAGTTCTAAAAATTTCTTTCAGGTTGCTGGAAATCGTTTCTTTGGTTTTACCATATCGTTCTAACGAGTCTAATATTCGAGTTACAGCACGTCTAGAAAATTCGACTCTTCCTGACAACTGTTCGTCAAGTTCTTCTTTGTCCCAGTGAGAAAGCTGCGTCAGGAAAGAATCAGAATCGACAACCGAATCTGAAAGAAAACTTAGCCAATATATTTATGGTTCGGACGACACCTTCTTACTTTCGGTCGAAGCATCCTGAGAGCCTTCAACATCGAGTCGCTGCAGCAGTATGCGTAGATCTTCATCCAACTAAAATCGCTTAAAGTAATTTCCAAAGCTAAGGTGCTGTGAAAGAAATTAAAACGAATATAAGAGACAGTAAGGATTAGATTAACCACATTAGACATTAGTCCGATGCAGTTCTAACGAACTGAACTAATTGTTCTAACGAATTGTTCTAATGAATTGAATGTTAGTACCAAAATTTAAGGATCTAATTAAGCACTATAACAATGTATTCTTGTCACATGCCACGGTTTTGCTTTGTCATACGTGGCAAATACCCATTAAACCGAATTTTTGAGTATTTTTAAGAGTAGGGAATACTTGTATTAGTTTTCTGCGTCAAAAGGTTTGACTGATACGCCAATTTATACTTAATAGCTAATTTAATTTTCAAATAGATACAGTGAGGATTATGTTCAGTCACTCAACTCTCTTCATATTATATGACAGCAGTCTATGTTCAAGTTAAAGTCAATGGAATTAGAATTCATCTGCGTAAAAATAACATGAAAAGAAACTTGCTACCATTTTAAGTTTGAGGACTACCCTATGACATTCGAATAAATCGCTGTTCTTCAAGTCCAAGCTTCTAACGTATACGTAGTTAATTTATGACGCCGAAAAAAAGGTAGGACTATCTTACTTCACGCTGGTAAACCAGTTACACTTAACACATGTTGCGTCTCCTCAAATGAAATCATGGGTACCACCAGGGTGATCGTAATCGAAGAGAGTTAATAGCAGCCAATCTTTCTTTTCAGACCACGTAGACTGCTTCATCTCTGACTGCTTTGTAAGTTCTCTTGGGCGCTTACATACCTCATGAAAAATAGCTGACTACAGGTGACGAATCCTAATTAATAAGGACGAAGTTGAACATCGTATTCTGCAACGACGCCGCCATCAGTGAAAAGAATCGAAACATCGGCTGTCATTAGAAATGCTTAAAACAGTGTTTGAAACCAGAACACCGAAATTCTCCTTACTCTGTTCCAGTGTCGGTTGACAATACACAGGACAGTGTCGGTCTGGGTCTGCCTTTGTTCTAACTGTTGGATGCGATTCCTTAGATCATTTTCAATACGTTTTCGCTGGTACAGACGTTCCGATAATTTTCGGTTTTGGAAACCCAAAATTTTCGCGTCAAGATCGTTCTAAAGAAAGAAACAAGTGCATGCAAAAATTCAAAAGTAAACATTATTGTTACATCTCGCCGGCCTTACCACGGTGCTAATAGCCGGCAGAGAAACTGGTTCAATGGATACAAGTCTCCTTCGTTTCGGCAGCTGGGTAGTCGCAAAGGAAGGAGCAGATCCGGTCTTTCCGTCGTCCTCCCCTGGTTTATCAGGACTTGAGCGCTTTGACATCACAGTTTCACTGGCAAAACGGAACCCGGACACGCTGAACGAAAAATGCAACCAATTAGCAACAAATTTTAGAATTCCTTTGTTGGCAACAAACCTGTTAGCTACCAGGCACTCGAATTTCCATCGCCGTCACTAGTTTCATCTGAAATATAACATCATAAATACTTTATGTTTCAAAGGCATGGACGGAAAAATGTTGATTAATAAAGTACTTAACAAAATTTAAAGTTTGGAAGGAAATATTAATCTTATATCATATGGTCGAAGTTTTGAAACATTAAGAATAGCTTTTTTAACACATGAGAACAGATTTTTTTCTTGCACACTATATGATGGCCACAAATATTCACGTCGCCTTACATCTGCAATTATTCCACTACATATTACCCCTATCCATGAAATTCTATCTTACACAAAACGGAAATAGAATCAGACTTTAGCTTATACAATATTCTACTTAGAAGAGTAGGTGTAAATCATCTTCAGTCTATTGCAAAAAAATACAGTAATTTGAAGTTAACTTAAACTTACTAAAAAATTGTACGAATGGGCATATTCCACGAAAGCAAATTTGAGCTTCAAATTTAAATTGCAATTAGTTCAAAGATTTCAGTTATGTATTCATTGGAAAACTTTTTATAAAACATGAAATGTTGAGACACATATTTATTAAGGTATTAATCATCTTAGTAACAACTGTTTTACAAATTCGGTGAGTCCCTTACGGGATGCCATAGATATGACTAAGATATGCGTAGACTAAGATATGCGCATATCTGTTAATCCGCATATCCCGCATCCCGAATATGTCATCCCGCAACACACTTGTAGGATTTTTAACTACATTCCGGCTTTCAAAATTTTACAAATATTAGAGAACCGTTTTCGTTTCAAAGTATTTGTGATGCATTTCAAAGCGGTAGACTTTCTTCAATTAGACTTCAAGGAAATTTAGACATTGTATTAAGGTTAAGTGGCAACTATTTCGATCAGTAAATTTCTATTACCATTTACCCTTTCGTGTCTCAGAGGCACACACGTCATGAAGTGTTTCCAACGTTCCTGATCCTATGCCAGTTTTGATCTTCGACAGATGATGACCCTATTCTGAAGCACAGTCCTTCCATATACTTGCATCAGGTGATTCTTGGCCGTTCCTGCTGTCCTTTGCCAGTCTGTTAGACATATAATTACTGTTACATCGCAATTGTCTATTACTCATGACTATAAACATCAAAATAAGGAGCTAGGGTTGGTTGATGGATCTCTTCGCATTTTGCAGTGCCGGTTAAAACGCAATGCCCTGCATAAGCACATTTGTATTAATTGATAATTCACATGACAAAGGAATCCACTTTGCTATGCTTCGGTGCGATCAGCCGAGAAAGGAACAGTCTGTTGCGAATGAGACGAACAGCATGGCGCTTTAGAGTGATCATGTTTAGGCGTGTGATATCTACACGCTGTCCGATACGGGCGCTTCTGGACTGCGACTCTCTTTGGCGCACTTAATGGTTACCTGAAAGCTTTATAAAGATTAAACCTCAATTTTAAAAATTTAAAATACGTTCGCACCATATGTCAAATAGTGCCGAATTTCTCAAATACCAGATTTCCCCTCATATCACATAGTTTTGTGCTGAAAATTGCCTAAGAGAGATATTTAAAAGGCCACAATGACATGGTATTTGAGCATCTGCGGTACCACGTTCGCACTCTATCATTCGTACGTCAGAGGCACCTCACGCAGAGAGTGAGACGATTCCGCTTAATATGTCCGAAGATGGAAACGCGAGAGTGCAACTAATTTGTCCACATTGTTTCAGTTTAAAATTGCCATGAAAATACTGCGCTTTGTGTTAATGACCTTTCGCGGTTATACGAGGGAATCAAATGAAACAAACATTAGAAATGAACAAATTTGACGTTGGATTCATATTGTGCTCTCAGTGATGTGTTTAGTATTGTACTCAAAGAGAACAATTCATTAATATGTAGATAATGAATATTTATTGATCGGCAGTCAAACTCGCGACTGCGTAATGTTCTCTGAATTAAGATGTCGATTCATAACATAAAACTTTAAATCTTGCAAATTAATTATTTTGACAGGAGTTTTACATTTTGTTCACGGAGAGCGTTTCATGGACATAAAACATTGTGGGTTCGATATTACAATTGATCGAGATGATCGCAATCCAATCATATACAATCAAACGCATTGCAGGTTGATAACGACTATCCATCGACACCGAAACGTCTCGCGCCGAGACAGCCCGCGCCGAATCGTCATAGATTGCGGAGTTAAGGGGTTATATCCTCATCTTCGGTAAAACAGTGTCCGACCTGTCCTTCAAGACTTACAGACTGCCCTTTTTTCACCTCGGAGCCGGCGGATGGTCTGCCAGAATACCTTGTTTGCGACCTGGGAATTGCGGTCGATGCGTATCCCAAGGACGGTCTACGACGATTCGGCGCGGCCGACATCATCACCTCACCGAATTTCTCCCAGAAATCAGCTTTGGCATTCGTCGCTGATTTCGCTGCCAGCCTAAACCTTATTAAAAGTCGCATGCGAGTTTGAAGCTCTTTGTTTCAAATCCATTACTTGAATTCTGCTATCTTCTCTTTAACTGCATGCTGTATTTCTCGAGTCCCCCAGGAAGTTTTTTGCTGACCTCTGCAACATTTGGTGGCAGCAGCTACTTCGCCTCTCTAAAAGAGCTCCCAATCGGTTTTCACATAAGCCGTCATCTTTGGGATCTGTTCGAGCCGTCTTGCGACGACGTTTTCAAATTTGATTCTCCTATCCACCGAAGATAATGTTTCCCATTTGATTTTCTGGCTCCTTCTGTTACCAGATCTTTGCGTAGAACACTATTTCTCACAGCATACCATGCCGACAACAAGGTGGTGATTGGTTGACCGCTCTGCGCCTCTGTTGGTAGGAACATCAATTACAGAGTGTCGTTAAGTCACACGATGTGCCCATCAAATCGATCGTACATTTTTGTGCAGGTATGCTGATTCCAGGTATCAGGTATGCTGATGCACGCTTTAATGCTCCAAGAAGTACTCATAATGGACAGTCCGTTGTTTGCAATAAATCGCGACAACTTAATGCCATTACTGTTGAGATCGCAGAGGCCGTTCTTTCCACTTTTCAGTGTTTACACCGAGATGCGCACGAAAATCGCAATGAGAACGAGGACAACGCATTTGGCACCTCGTACGGGGAGACATTCCACTCCCTCAAGGAAAAACTCATATTTACCCCGCAAATTGGGTGCATAGACTTGTAACAAGTAAACGCTTTAGCCTGTTGTAGCTTCAGTGGGAGGATTACCACCTTAGCGCTGATAAGCTTCCAATCAACGATTCTCTCTGCGAGGTTGGATTCTACCAGAACACCAAAACTGGCTTGAACGCGAGTCGTGATATCGATGCCTGAGTAGAATAGCTTTCATCCGTTGAGGTTCAGGAGTCCAGAGCCTTGGCATTTCGTTGACGAGTGTCTAACAACATCGAGTTGGTACTTTACTGCCTCATCAACTCACTCATGCTATTTCCCTCTGAGTGAGGACATATTCCAATTTCCGACTGTTAGCTCCCATTGATGGTGTCGTTCTCATGGAACCTTTTTTTGACGTGCTATAATGGCATAGCGCTGTTTTCCTCCTCCGTTCAGAACGGATAGCGACTCTGTTTCTGATTTG